GGTGCCGAAGAAGAGACCTGCTAGTGTGATGAATGACCACAGCCCACGATGAATGACCACAGACCACAGAATGACCACAGCACACTCTTCGATGAAATCGCCATGATTATTAAAAGGGGTGCAAAATCACCCTTAAAGTGGGCAGATCCCTTCCAACTTTGACCTGTAGGGGTCCTCTCTATTCAATTGCTTTTCTTCAACATCCTAGTTTTGCCACCACCTACCCAGTCTTTTCTGCCAGCGGCAGCAGCTCCCCAGGCCTCACAGCGGCAGGTGCCAAGCTTGCCAGGGTGCCCAGGGTGAGCTTAGCAAGCCCCAGCAACAAAGGGTGGTTCTGTCTGCATTTTGCTTCCTGCCTGGGTGTGGTGTTCACCGCTCTCTCCCGGCTGGTGTTTCTCCGAACAATGGAAATAAATCGGATGTAATGTAGCAGAACACGACAAGGGACGGTTTCCCCTTAACAAATACTCATTTGAAATGGTGCCCAAGCCCTGCTCGAGGAGCGATCTATTTCCCACAGCAGTGTTCCGGCAAAACCCATTACTAATTCCACAACTCAAATTAAAACTAACAGAGCTTGAAGGCTGGGGCCGACACTCTCTCTGCTGACAAGGAGCGAGGAAGGGTGGGGGAAGGCGCCGCGCACTCGCCTGTGTATGTGTTTAATTACACTGTTTAACACATCGAGAATAATTTAGCCACCCAAGTGGAGAAAATAAGGCACTTAACTGTTCTCTGGTGGAAAAAAAACCACAAAACCCATGCAAACCACTTTTAGCTGTATGCCACCTGGGCACACCTCTGGGCTTTGGAGGGAGAGGAAGAGAAGGGGAAACCAGGGAAAAGAGAGGTAGAGTAAGGGAGAGAGAGAGAGTAGGAGGAGAGAGAGGTAAGGAGAGAGGGACAGCTTGAGGGAGAGAGGAGTGAGAGGGAGAGAAAGAGAGTAAAGGGGAGAGAGGAAGAGATGGAGGCAGGAAGGAGGGAGAGAGAAAAACAGAGAAGGCGAGAAGGAGGGGAGAGAGCAAAGGAAGGGAGGAATAAAGAGAAAGAGGGAATTTCCCATACGTGCAAATCCACAGGGCGTTGGGAAGGACACATGACCACTTCTCAAGGTGAGGCAGGCGGGGGCCTGGGGCAGTCCTGTGTCCATGTGCATAAAGTGACCTGATTAAGTGAGTAGACAGGGTCTGGGAACCGGGTTAGAAGGAGACAGCGACGCTGGATTAGGACAGCTGCTGAGTGGAAGGGACATGCCTGCAGTGGCCCAGGAGCCAGCCATCCTAAGGCCCTCCCCCTCAATCTCTGCCTCAGGCACGTCTCTTACCTTCCGTTCCTGAGAAGAAGCAGGGGGTTTCAGAGACAGTGCCGAGTGATGCAGCTCAACTGGTTGGAAGCCACATCTGGATAAGGATTCGAGGAGCAGAGGACAATGTTTGGCTGAGAACGAGGATAACGTTCCTGACCTCCCCTTCCTCAGGCACGTGAGAGTTCATTGGATCCAGATGTGGGCCCCTGGCTGCGTTCCCTGAAGGCAGGTGTGTGGTCAGCTCTGATGGAGACCTGCCCCTCAGGGTCTCTGTCCACCGGCTGTGAGTGGGGCTGCTCAGTTCTCTGAGCTGCATGGGCTTGACCTCCGGCAGGGGAGGTGGGCACAGAGGGGCTGACCCAGCCAGTGAACAGAGCCCAGCGTGCTGCCCAGAGGGAAATCAAACCGAGGTCCTGGCCACTCTCAGTTTTAAGGATCCCTTGTGGCCCATGTGGCAGAGCAAGAATATTAACCTCAGCATCGGCTCTCTTCCAGCCCAAGAACTCAGGCAGCTCATCACCCCATCACCCGGGGCCACTACCTTTAGTTCAAGGTACTTCTCTCATTAAGTGCAGCTCTACCAGAAGGGGTGGCGGTGGGCAAGCCTTTGCTTCCACACCCCTCCACCATCTCTTAAAATTGTGCACGTGCTTATTAGCTAAATAGACCATCTCTGAGGCAATGCAGACGCTGGATAGAGGTGACTTTCAGCTGCCTTTCAACATGAGTGTCACAGATTACCAGGGGCTGGAAAGCCTCTTAGGGATCACCTTGCTCAACTATATTAACTATTAAGTCAAGGAAATAAGGTTTGGTTGAGCTTTCTGGCTGTTTATTGAGAGAACCAGTTTTGCAGACTGGAGAGCATGCATGGCCTCACATTGTATTGCAGATTTATTTTTCATTCAAAAAAAGCCTTGTGCAAAGCAGAACACAGTGCATGGTAGAGAAGAGTACCCTGAGAATTTAGGGGTCCAGACAGAAGAGAGACCAAACCCAGGGCTGCCTGGGTCTGAGGCAGTGCTCCCAACAGGTGTGCTGCAGGAAAGTGCTGGAGCACTCAGTTCCGCCAATTTCTTTGTTTGGCCTTCTCCGAGTCTTTATATACAAATCTGAATCATGATTTTCCAAGGAGGGGAGAGTAGGAGGCATCATTCACCCAAGTGTTTGATCCCAGAACCTTATATCAGGAGCACCTAGCGACAGCTTTCAGAATCAGTGTTCCATGTTCCATGCTTTAGGAAACGCTTGCCTAAGATATAGAGTCCGGTCTATCAAGGACAGGGAACACCAGTGCCTTACACATGTCCAGCAAATATTAATAACTAGAGGCCTGGTGCATGAATTCATACATGGGTGGGGTCTGGCCAGCCCGTCCTGATTGGGGTCCATTGATCAGGGGCCAGGCCAGCCGGAAGGAGGGGCCATGGGAGGTTGACCAGCCAGCCCTGCCCCCATCAGGCCAGTTGGCCAGCCACAGTGCACGTCATAGGGACAGGTTGTTCCGTTCGTTCTGGTCACTTGGCTTTTATATACATATAGATAGTAATTTGATTTGTTTCGAACAAATCTTATGTGCTGTCTCAGGTTCCCTTCATGTCACTTGTCTCTGGGACTCTCAGCCCAGACAACTTCTGGACTCAAATAAAGTGCCAAGTTTAAGGACTAGGATCTGGATTTCCCAGTGGCTGCCAAAGGGGCCAGATGGCACAAACCCAAAGTTCAGGAGAGTTAACTCCCCATGGGGCAAATTGAACAACAGAAGATAGGAGACGGAATGAAACCTGCATGTAAATTTCCTCCCCAACCTCTCTCAGTAGAGTGTCCCAAGGCCTGGTGTTTCTGCAAAGCTAGCCCACAGATGTTCTGCGTTGGCCACGTGGCCAGCGATGTCTTTTTGTGAAGGTGACACTTCTCCTTGCATTGCTTCCCATTCTCCTCTCCTTTCTCATTTCCCTCATCCACACTGTCCTGATATTGCATCTCCCAATGAGGCATTAGCACTTAACCTTTGTCTCAAGCATTGTTTTGTAAAGAATCCAGGCCCAAGGGATATAAGTAGTATTAACTAAAAGTTTTTTGAACATTGACCATGTGCCAGCCACTGCCCAGCACTTTGCATGTATTATTTTATTTAATCTGTTCAGTAATTGTATGAGGCAGATGCTGTTGTTACCACATTTTAGTGATGAGGAAACTGAGACCCAGAGAGGTTAAGTAACATGCCCGAATGGTAATATCACATAACACATATGGTCAGAGCACGCGCAGTGCTGGCAAGAGAGGAAGCACCCAGTGCCAATAGTTGGGTCATTCATTTGTAATTTCTTGATAGCACCTCTTCTTCTAAGCCATTCTTTCACGTGAATCCCTCACTGAATACAACCAACAGGGGGACAAGACAGTGCACTGAGAACAATCTAACTCTAGCTCCATTGTTTGCATCTGGTGTGCAGTCAGCAGCAAGTCACTCACCAGGTACCTCACGTTTTTATCTATAAATGGGAGGTAATGAACTCATGTTACACATAACTCTTCCCTATTACACAGTTGGCTGATTATTACTACACTAGTGGCCCGGTGCACAGATTCGTGCACAGTGAAAGGAAATTAATTAGAAGAAAGACTCATGTGGTAATTATGTTACTGCAAAAAATTACATGTCAAAATAGTATATATAATATGGTATAATAAAATTAAAACACGTGTGCAATTGGCGCCAGTGGAAGCTTTATATGTATTGCACAGGCATGAGTCAATGCTTATTTTTAAATTGCCAGTGCACATCATATGTACTGGCCGGTCAGTCGGTTGGTAGGATGGACATACAGTCAGTCACTTAGCCTTTTATATATATAGACATAGATTGGCATCAACCAATGTGCTAACAATTGAGTCCTCCTGCAGCTATCACCCTCAAAAACAAAGTCTGGGTCCAGCAGGATACAGGTGGGACAACTCAGGAGGATGTGGTGACTGGAGGATTCCCACATCCAGGGAATGCCACCCAGGCATCAGCAAAATTCTGCATGTGCCAGGGCAAACAGGCAGTCGGCAGGTCACAACCCAACTAACTATAGAGGAAACATATCCGCACTTATTGCAACCTGTTAGCTTGGCCTCAAGCAAAACAGCGTGAGCTCTGCTCTCTGAGACCAGGATCACATCTCCAGGATGACCCACCTCCAGCAGCCACAGGGGCACAAACATTGACTGGGAAGCAGCTGGAGGGGTATAGGAACCGCCCGAACCTCTGAAGTGGCTGTGATCAGTCTTTGGGACTAACCTGGATTTTTCAACTCTGTTTGTATCATTATTCAGCTGGTTCATTAGAGAACAGAAGGCAAGGCCTGGGCCCCATTCCTCCCCTCAGTATTAAATACTGACCATGTGCCAGACACTATGAATGGAAGGACAGAGATGGGGGTATCCATTATGGTCAATGTAGTGCTCAAGGTTGCGGCTTTGCATGAGTAGAAAGCAAAGGTGACTCAATGATTAAGAGAGGCTCTCTTAGAGAGTCAACTCATCCTTTGCCCTGGGTTTCCTCAAAGCTTATCCTTACACACTGCATCAAAAATACAGCTTTCAGAGCTACTGAAAACATATTTCTGGGTTTGCAGATTAGGAATCTACATAATTTTAAGAGGCTCTCTTGGTCCATAGCTCTAGGAGGTCACCATTCAAACCTTACCTGTTTCCAACAGGTATGTCCGATGGAGCACTCGGTGTCAGCAGTATTCCCAAAGGGATCCGGATCCCAGTAGGACTGGGCAGGTCCCAGGGCTCAGCAGCAGTCTGGGGAATGAGAGTGGCAGTCTCTCTGGGGAAGTGAAGTTGCAGCCCTCAGTGCTGGCATCTGGCATCTGTTTGCTTCTTCCCCTAAGGCTCTTCCTTATAAGGGCACACTAGGCATTGCCCCACCTCAGTTAAACAATAATCAGCAAACACTGGGCACCTCCCTGAGAGGGGACATTGGATTTAACTGCAAGATCTTCCCCACACTGGGCCCCAAAGCGATTGCTACCTGATTCCTCCTTACTTCCTGGAGCCCCCAGCTGCAGATTTGCCAGCTGCCTGGGTTTTGGGTTTCTCATTGTTTCCAGATACTCAGCTTATTTTACTTCAGGGACTTATGTTTCTACAAAACCACCTGGGAAGCTAACTTCCTGCCTGCCTCATTCTCACACAGGGAAGCCCCATCGCCACGTATTGCAGATCAAGAGTGTATGCTCAGTAAATCCCATCACCTGGTCTTCCTGCTGGAGAGAGCATCTCTCTACAGGTCACTGCAGAATGCAGTATCCGGGCCTGGGAGACTGGGGAAGGTCTTGGCATCACCCCTGCTCAATGGAGGGGGAGAAAGCAATGAGGTGTGGAGAGCAGATGCTTCCTGCCTGCAGAACCCTGGTGGCGAGGCTCCCCCGAGGTTATAGGAGGGGGTGATAAAATAGGGCAGCAAGAGGAGTGTGGGAATCACTGAGAACAGATGTGACAGGATCCATCCCCAGACTGGGGTGGGTGGGAAGAGATGGGATTTGGAATGAGAGCACTTGGGAAGTGTGGCTCAGCCCATGTGCCTGGGAGTCAGGACCATAGGTGAGGAGCATCATTCAAGGCCTGAAACCGGGTTTTAATCTCAGTCCTACAATTGCTGGTTCTCTGACATCAGCACACCTCCCTCCTCCGAAGGTTAGTTTATTAATCTGTTAAATGTGGTTTACAATGCCAGCCTCGTCTCCCTCATATTTATTTATTGGGGTGCCTATATCCCAGGGGACACACTCTGTTAGGACTTTGACTATAAATACAGTAAACAATAAACACACTCTTGTATAAGCGTAATTAATGAATAAATAGACATATGTTTGTTGGCTGTGCTCAGAATGATTTTGCTAAGAGGGTATGCAATCAAAAACGTTTGAAAGCCATCGTTTCAGAAAAAAGGGGTGTGAAAATGCTTTAGAAAGCCCTACCCAATCAGTGTACCTTGAGACAGTGCCTACAGAAAAGTAACAGAGTTTTCCTGCTTACTGATGACAGTTTTGTCTTCTCCCATTTCATAAAATGAAGCTCCCCCTGTCACTCCAGAGCAATCTTTCGGAATACTGAGTTAAAAAAGGAAAACACCCCCTAAGGCAGCGGTTCTCAACCTGTGGGTCGCCAATGTGTGGGTCGAGACCCCTTTGGGGGTTGAACGACCCTTTCACAGGGGTCGCCTAAGACCATCGGAAAACACATATATAATTACATGTTGTTTTTGTGATTAATCACTATGCTTTAATTATGTTCAATTTGTCACAATGAAAATACATCCTGCATATCAGATATTTACATGACGATTCATAACAGTAGCAAAATTACAGTTATGAAGTAGCAACGAAAATAATTTTATGGCTGGGGGTCACCACAACCTGAGGAACTGTATGAAAGGTTGTGGCATTAGGAAGGTTGAGAACCACTGCCCTAAGGAGTGTTCTTGGAGCCAGCAGCCTGCTGTAAGGATGGCTGAGGCGAGGGGCTGGAAGGAAGACCTGTTCACCAACCCAAGGGGCTGTTTGCTTTGGCGCCTCATTGGCTCTTGGATGCTCTCTCTGCTCATTCATATGTGCTCCTTGAAAGCCACCGCTCAGTGGGTTGTGCGTTCCAGAGAATTCTAGCCTGGGGCCATCAACCCAGTGACCTCTAGCTGGGACTTTCCAGCTAACTTCCTCTAGGCTTGATGAGCTTTCGCAAAGTGATACCCAAGTTACCAGCACCCAGGTTAAGAGACAGCATCACTGATACCTAAAGCTCCTTTGACAACCCTGCCCATCACTACCCTCCAGGATACCCCCAACAAACACCATCCCCAGCTTGTTCACTTTCATTAACTCCATCCTCCTTTTTTTTTTTTTTATAAGAAAATCCCCCAGTGTTGATTTAAGGGATTAAACCAAATGTTTTAAATATGACAAAGGGGACTATGCGGCAGAGCAAACAGGTATAGAGTGTTTGCCACACAGGCAAACAGATCATCTAACACAGTGGCTCTCAACCTGTGGGTCGCGACCCCTTTGGCAGTTGAACGACCCTTTCACAGGGTCACCTAAGACCATGCTGCATATCAGATATTTACATTATGATTCATAACAGTAGCAACATTACAGTTATGAAGTAGCAACGAAAATAATTTTATGGTTGGGTCAACATGAGGAACAATATTTAAAGGGCCAGAAGGTTGAGAACCACTGATCTAACAGATTTCATATATTTTTACATGACTCTGTGGGTCGAACAGCAAGTCAACAAAGCGAAGTTATTTTTGTTAGTGTCCAAAAGAATGAGGTGACGGAGGCTCAACCAGCCCAAATTTGTTGTGCTATGGATTGTTCTGGATGGATTCTGAACTGTCCAAGTCACGTTCTTACTAACTCAGAGCAACAGGTGGCAAACCCAACATTACCTACAAGGGAGGCATTATAATCCCTCGGGTTTTCAAGTCTAAGTGCCCATCGTCTGGCCCTTCCACCAACTGCAGAATTTTGGACAAGCTACTTAACTCTCAGCCTGTTTCCACAACACCAAAATGGTGATGATAACAGAATCTAACTCCTCAGGCACCAGGAGAATTAAAAAAGCGAAGGCAGGTAAATTGCTTAAATACTAAGTCTGGTACTTAGTAACTACTCAATAGATTTAGTAAATCAGACATAGACCTGCTTGGTGGAACGTTAGGAGAACTGGGTTGGAAGAGAGATTGGAACTTTCAAGGTGGAACATTATGGAAATGATAAAGGTGATAACCCAGGGACTCAGAAATGACACACTGACCAGGAGAAGGTACAGTAGGGAAAAGGAAGTCATTTTCACTTGTTTCTTGAAGTTCTATTTCAATAAGTAAGGCCACATGCTGCAAGTATCGCCTGAAGAAACCAACAGAGACCGGCATCATTCATTTCTGCTGTTGCCACACGTTGCTGAACTGAGAAAGACAGAAGCCGTTGGCCAAGGAGACATGAGCTCTGCTACTCACATGGAAACCTTAGTCATGGGTGGGCCGAAAGGACATGAACCCGTCGCCGCCTTCTGATGTGGTGGCCTCCCTGGAAGGGACTGGAGAAACCCAAGTGCTGTGCCTGCTGAAGGAGCAGGAGCCAACACTGAGATGTGTGTGGGTGTCAGGGCAGGGTCCCCGGGTGCTTGCTCTGCCCCTGGCAATGTTCCAGCATCCCTCAGGTGAACTCCTCCGGTGGACACCAGGTCCATGAAAGCACACTCAGAGGGTGGTCACTGTCCTTGCAGCCTGAGGAGGCTGCATGGACCAGGACCGTATCCTATCCTGGGACTAGGAATGGGTGAGGGGATAAGACATGGGCCTCTCATCACTGCTTCCTTCTTTGACTGCACCCCCCAATAGGCAAGTTCTGAGAAATTTGAGGCAAGAAGGCCTAGGTCCGCCCGTGCACGTGGTAGGTTAGGGAGGGTTGGAGTGAGCTGTGCTCCCCACTTCCATGTGTTAGCTAACCCAGGGGCCTTGTGGAAAACCCTTCTTCTTCAAAGGTGACAAGTCGGTAGGAACAGGGACAGATTGGACATATCCAAAGTTGGTTCAGTGGCCTGAGACAGAGGAAGCGCATTTGGTAAATTGGTGGGGGAAATTGTCACTTGCCCAGAAAAGTCCGTGACCAACCCTAGGGAGGAAGAGGCAGCGTGCTCAGGACAAAAGGTTGGTGAGCAACCACTTGCAGGGCCTGGGAAGCCACCGGATGTGGGGGCAGTGCCGGCCAAAATTCACATGGGGGTACTGTGGGAACAATTAGTTCTGAAAAGAGGCTCTCAGTCCCAGTGGGAGAGACTCCAGGGACCCTGTAAGCAAATAATCTTGGGGAGCTTGGTTGAGCCAGTTCAGCTTCTGTAGATTTCTGGGCTTCTCCATCTGCTCCCCAATGTCATGAACAAGAAAACCAATATAAAAGGATACCTGTGTTCACTGGGAGGTGGGGGATGGGGGAGGAGAGAAAGAAAGAAATGTCCTGAGGAGACTGTCTTCATCTAAGCCAGTTTTGGGGGTGACAAAAGGAACTACATGAGAGCAGAGACATGAACCTCCGAAAAATTAGAGAAGAATGGGGAACCCTAGGGCCTGGACCAGAGGTTCTGTGGACTCTGTACAGGGCTGCCAACTGCCCACTGACACACTATGGAAGAGAAGCAAGTAAGTTCATTTATATGGGTGCTGGCACCATCACAGTAATTAAATGAGGATGTTAAAACTGCCAAGTACCACTGTGTGAGGACTACACTGAGATGCCTCAGAGAGATCAGACTTCACTCAAGCTCAGATAATGCCAGTTATCATTACAAGATACAAGCCGGGTGGTCAGAGAAATAGTTATGCTTCCTTGATAAGGAAATGCTACTGGGGAGGTGCGCACAGCCTACTAATATCTATTTTTATCTATCTGAGAATGCAAACTCTTCAACTGAACCATCAAGCTTTATTCATTTCTTGAACACTCATCATGTTACTCTTTTAATATGCAAAATTGTCAATTCAATTGCACAATGCAAAAAAAAAATATTTGGGACAATTCAGATGATGCTAAAAGGAGACAACTACAGAGAGAGAATCTGCTAGAGGATTCTCATATCTGCTCAGATCCTCATTGGCAAACTGATCCCATCATCCAGGACCCTACCCCATGCCCCACCCAGGCCTCCATCCTAGACCAAGGCCACTACACCCCTCAGGGGAACCTGAAGGGCATCAGGAAACACAAAACAAAACCTATAAGTTTTCCCTTAGTCATCGGGCTGATAAGTTACTTTTCCTCCCCGTTTGTTTTTACATGTTCATTACATATTTCT